CAAGATCCTTCCCATCTCCACTTCCTGAGTAGTTGGGATTACAGCTGTGAGTCACTGCATCTGATCTTTTCTCTTTAAATCAGTGGTGGAAATCAGATTTCAGTGGCAGAGTTAAGTAAAGGAATATAGTAATCTTTTTAGAGTCTAAACATTTGAATACTGACTATGTGCTACAACAAATACAAAGCACCTAAAGTATTGTTTCATTTAACCCTCATGACAATCTCATTAGGCAAATATTATTATTATCACCTCCATTTTATATGGATGGGTTGCCCAAGGTCAAGAGAGGTCTAGAATTACACAGCTAGTAAGCAAATTCAAACCCAGGCAGTTTAGACTCCAGAACCAGCATTTTTAACCATTATATCATCCTTTACTTTGACGATGCGATGTAAAATTAAGGCATATAACTCTTTAGTCTACCAAATCCTAGCTGACGGTACAAATCAACCTGGGGTCACTTTCTAAAAACTGCAAATTCACTTGCCAAAACCAGGTCTCCTGAATCTGACTAGGTGCAGGATGTAGACTAGAGTGTCTAATTTTTTAAAAAGTGCTTTTAGGTGATTTTGCAGTATACCAAATGCTAGGAACTACTTTACTAGTTCACCAAAGTGGGACACTAGAAACCTTCAAGAAGTTATTCATGGTATAAGTTAAAATCTTAATATTCCAGTTGATTAAAATTTACTTATTACCCTATTTTCTCTCATGCAATACTCTATCTTGCCCATCCTTCCACATACCCCAAAGAAATTATAACGAGAAAAACAGATCCAAGCTGTGCATTGTGACTCATACCTGTAATCCCAGCTCTTGGGAGGCTGAGGTAGGAAGATATCAAGTTTGAGGCCAGCCTGAACTACACAGAGAAATGCTATCTCAAAAAAAACAACCAACCAAAAAAAAAAAATCTAGAATTTGCTGAGGAAAAAACAGTTAGTTTCTGGTCTATACTGTCTACATATGACAAACTTAATAAAGATCACTGATGCTTAACATGACTACTCTAAGATAAGTCAGACCTTTACTCAAAAAAGAAAAAAATCAAGGTAAGAGTTGAAAGTGGTAAGAGTTGAAGGTGATAGTTGTACCTCTGGAAACCCTCTCATCTGACAGATGAAAAAAACAGCCTGTATTTTTAAGCTTCCTCTTTAACTCAGTTCACATTTGTGGTATCTATCCAAATATTTGAAGTCCACTACTGTGTATGCAAAAACAAACTATCCTAGTTTGAAAACAAGACATGAATTTGCTTAAAGGCCCCACAAAAAGCCTAAAGCTACTTGATTTTTAAGAAAAGGAAGGAAGTAAGGAAAGCGGAACCTTGAGGAACAAAGGCTAGTTGGAAACTAAGAGTTTTCAAAAAAGCTTTTCACTCCTCACTGAACGTGGGGTAGGAGTACATCTATTATTTCATGTGTGTGTGGAACTGGGGTTTAAACTCAGTGCTTCACACTTGCAAAGCAGGAGCTCACAAAGTGGGCACTCTACTGCTTGAGCTATACTCCAGTTCAGTTTGGAGATGGGGTCTTGCAAACTACTTGCCCTGGCTGGCCTCCCAAGTAGCTAGGATTACAGATGGAGCCATCGATACAGGGCTCGTTTTTTCAATTTTTATATTGAGGAAAGGGTCAAGGATCTGAGGAATGGTAACTTCTAGGGCTTCCACAGCAGTTACCATAAACACATAGAGAGATGCTTAAATGAAGTTGAAGCAAGCTCCCAACAGCAAATGAAACAGAACTTACCTCATCTGGAAGAGAAGGAAAGCATGAGATGACCATTGAGATCCCCCAAAAAAGAGCAGTCCCATGCTAAACAAATTCCTGTATCTCCTCCATGATTTCTACTCTAGTCAATGAAGCTCCCTCCTATAAATGATGTGTCTGAATATAATACTTTGTGATAATAGACTAATTGCCATAAAATGTTCCTTACCTTTCCTTAAAACAAACATGAAACCATTGTTAAAATTTTTGTTACACATTTTGCCCAGTTAAGGGCAAAAGAAGTAGAAGGGAAGCAGAAAAGATAAACAGGTGGGAGAGAAAAGAGCCATAAAGCAAACACAGGTGAGTGCAAACAGGGACTGGAATCAAGAATCCTGATTTCGGAAATCAATGTGAGTCAACTCCCTGTATAGCTATCCTTATCTCAACCAGCAAAAACCCTTGTTCCTTCCTATTATTGCTTATACTCTCTCTTCAACAAAATTAGAGATAAGGGCAAAATAGTCTCTGCTGGGTATTGAGGGGGTAGGGGGAAGAGGGAGGGGGTGGGGGCAGGGGGGAGAAATGACCCTAGCATTGTATGCACATATGAATAATAAAACAATTAAAAAAAGAGAATCCTGATTTCTTTTGTAAATGCCACAATGTATTCCCAGCACAATAATTTTTAAAAAAAAGAAAGAAATTTAAAAAAAAAAGAACTACAAGGGGAAAAGAATCTTGGTTTCTAATCCTAGGTGCCATTAGTTAACTGAACTGTCTTCTTTAGTGAGGATCATCATTTAAAAAATAAGTGGAGGTAACTACACAAGAGAGTAAGAATCAATCTCAGAACAGGCCCTCACCTAGGGCTTCAGATTGGCAAATGGCAAACTGCACACAGGAAGCAAAAAAAAAAAAACCGAAAACCCCTTTGGTTGCTGGGACAATGATACTCCTGGTTATTTTGCCTGAAGATGAAGGGGAGTCCAAGAGTTATCAATTCAACCCATTCTGAATGGAATTCTTCATACCAGTGCTATTGCAGATCCAGAGATACATGTCACAGTCCTTGCCTCTAAGGCATTCAAAATACAGGATGGCAGAGTAGCTCAAGCTGTACAGCGTCTGCCTAGTAAGTGTGAGGCCCTGAGTTCAAACACCAGTATCATCAAAAAAAAAAAAAGAAAAAGAAAAAAGTTGAGTCTACTTAAGGTTTTAGCTAAATACTAAGAGAAAAGTTGTGCCTCCTACTCTGTGCTCTCCCAAGAATGTAATATTAGGAAAGCAATAACTTCTAGAGTCTTGACATTTAGATCTCAAGAAAAATGAGGCTTAAAGAAATTAACTTTAGGGTAGCTAAGTTTTCTGACTTCAAGTCCAGTGCTGTGATACATATGAAAAATGTGACGACATAAAAGACATCTAGCTATATTAATAAAGTCCCAGTCATCTACAAGTTAAAGAAAAATTTTAAATTCAATGAAAATTTCTGCCCACTGCTAATAAGATGACTTTGCTAATAAATAGATTTGCCTTGCTATTGTTCGTAAATTGCAAGGCAGATATATGTATGTTTTCCAACTGAATTCCCACTAGCCTGTATTTCACTGTCAGGTCAGAGAACATAGTCCAAGTCATGTTTAATCCCAATGCCTGACATGAAGCAAGCATTCAGAGTATATTGGTTGAATTGGACCTGTCCAGGTCTAAAATTGATACCTGACTTCAAAACATGACCAAGATATATATGATGACCAATAAACAACTAAAGGCCATAAGGTGTACAAATAAACAACTCACCTTGAGACCTTTTAGAATACTATTAACTGAACACTCTAAATGTATTCTTGCAACCAGTCACAAATACAGATCTCACTATTATACATTTTGTCCTATGTAACACAAAATTAGGATTTCCCACTCTTGATTTTAAGAAAGTATATATATTTATTTGTAAAACTATGCAAGGGAAAATAGGGATAATGCAGTAGAAAGCGGAATAAGAAATATCAATCACAATCAGAAAACTGTACCTTTGTGTCTACAAATAGGCACACTAACTGTATAATCTTCTAAAACCTGAACTGCAGAGTTTGTTTCTTTCACTTCTGGTTATAGTCAAGATCCCTGAAAAGGGAATGAAAACAGAAAAGAGAGAACTTTAAAAGGAAGATTTTACACATTGGGGATACTTTCTTATTTGCCTAGAAATTAAAACGGGAGGAGTATCATCAACATCTAACTCAAGGGAAATGGCTTTTTCAGTAATGTCCATTTAAATATTTTTCCACGTGTCTCTGTTAATTCCTATTAAGCCAACAAAGCCTCATTCTTAAATATGGAATGTCCAGCACCATAATTTTAGAATAGCATGTCAAGTCACAATTAAAATACCAAGTAGGGTGTCAGTGGCTCACTCCTGTAATCCAAGCTACTCAGGAGGCAGAAATCAGGAGCCAGTCCTGGCAAACAGTTTTTGAGACCCTATCTCAGAAAAACCCATCACAAAAAAAGGGCTGGTGGAATGGCTCAAGTTGCAGGCCTTGAGTTCAAGCCCCAGTACCTCAAAAAAAAAAATAATTAAAAAGTTAAGGTTGTTGAGGGCTGGGGATGTGGTGAGTGATAGAGCGCTTGCCTAGGGTAAAGGGGTCCCTAAATTCGATCCCCAAGACCCAAAAAAAAAAAAAAGTTGGAAAAAGGTGCTAATCTGGGAGAACTAGAAAAAAAGGGGTTTTCTACGTAACTATAGTAATTTGGCTTAAATGGTTGGGATCTAATTCTAAACACCAAACGGACTGCATCTTAGCAAAGACCACGGAAGCAAACACTATAAAAAGCCACTTCTAATTTCAAGAATTTCCTGAGTACTTGAATAGGTTTAGACACCACGCAAATCCACAGCTCCGCAAAATGACTTCCCTTTCCCTTCCACAACCACACCCGTAGGCATATACCGCCCCCCCCCACCCAAGCCCTTCAAGTACAGTTTTTTTTAAATGGGGGCCGAGGTCCCGTGCTGTTGCGGGAGGTGGCTGCGGATGCGGCCGTGGCTGGCCAGACCCGAGTGCACCGCCACCAGGTGTGAACGACCGACAGGGCAGCAGACAGACTCGCTCCCCACGGAGCGCACCGAGGCTCAAAGCCGACCCAGTTCCTCTTCCCCGGGTAACAAATCAGAGCTGAGGACCGACGCGCGCGGCATGGCAGGGAGGGAAAGCCGCACTCGGCAGCTCCCGGCCGGGTCCGGCCCCGCCCCAAGTCCCGGCGCAGCCCGCGCCGTACCTGGCGAAGAAGTCCGCGAAGCTCCGCTCCGTCGAGCCCGGGCCGAGATCCCCGGGCCCTGCTCCGCGGCGGGCGAAGGCGCTGGGTGCGCCGCGAAGGGCAGGTGGTCGCCGGCGCTCTGAAGGCGACTCACCTCGAACGTGTTCCGAGAGTTCAAGGGAACGTCGGGGACCCCAGGGCTCGGCTCCGCGCCCGCGCTCCCACTAGTCCTCCCAGCCGGGGCGGCGGGGGCCGCGCCCTCGGGTTCCTTGGTGTCGGCCGCCGCCAAGCAGCAGCTCCGCAGCGGGTCCTCGAGCGGCGCGGCCCAGTCGGACGGGCTGCCCGCGCCGTCCGCGCCCAGGTCGCCAGGCCCCTCCAGGCGGAGGCGGCCGCAGGAGCGGCGGCGAGGCGAGTCCGAGTCTCCGACGCGAGCCAGCCCGCGCTCCTCCTCCACATCATGACAGCCCTGGCCCAACAGAAAGCCCGAGTCCCCGTTGGTCATGCCTCCGTGTCGCGGCGCGCGGGCATCCGCCTCCTCCGTACCGCGGGGCTTGGCGCCCGCGCCCGGCAACCAGGCTGCTGAGGGTGGCGGGGCGCCAGCCTGGCCACCGGGAAGGGGACAGTAACAGAGCCCTGGCTCCAGTGGTCCCCCGGCCGCCAAGAGGTAACACTGGAGGAGCTGCCCAGACGTCGTCTCCTCCTCCTCTTCAGCCTCCTCCGGCGGCTCCACAGCGCCGACACCTCCGCCAAAGCCGCCGGTGGCCGGGATCATCTTCCCGTCTTGGCCCACGGCCTCCGGCGCCGACACCGGGAGCAACTTGGCGTTCCTTCCTGAGCAGGCTCCGGCATCCTCCGGACCCACCATCTGCCAGGTGGCCGCCGCCCGAGGAGGCGCCGGAGGAGTGCCCCGCGCAGGCTCGGCCAGAGGACAGCCCAGGGTGCAAGGGCCGCGGCCGCCGCAACGTTCCCAGACCCACCCCTCCCACCCCCCGGTCGGACAGTTGCAAGCGGACGGGCACGCGCCTGGGCTCGCGCTCGCGCACGCGCAAACGCAGGACCGGTCAAGCCGCGACCTGGAGACTCCCAAACCATAGAGACTGCCGGCGGCTAGAGAGACCCGGGCGGCCCATCTGGGATTCGCTGTCGGGATGGCGGAGGCGTCTTGGCGCACTCCACTTGGCTGACGGTTCTTAACCGAAGTGCGGGAATTGCTCGCTTGGCAAAAATTCGCTTGGCCTACTTCATTTGTGAGGGTAAAATACAGGATCTTAGCGTGGCTGAATCCTTCCAGCTCTATTAGTCACCAGTCGGCAATGTTTCCATCCTTCTCTTTCGGCAATGGGAAAACTACAGCCATCATTCAGGACTTTAGCCCATGACCATCACCCTCCCAAAATTACCTTCTTATTTAAAACCACTTTCAACACATTGTTTTTGTCGTTACTTAAGGAGGGAGACGAAACAGAGTCACGGAGAGAAGGACTTAATAATTTCAACGTCCTGTGGCACTAGGTTAAATGAAGTGGTGACCACTGATGGCAAATGAAATGTATTTAAAGTAGAAATTACGAGTTGGGACATGGCTCAAGGCCCCGAGTTCAAAACGCAGTACAGAAAAAAGAAAGAAAGAAAAAATCACAACAGGCGATAAATGATCACAGATATAGGAGAGGAGCAATAATCACTACAAACTATGGAGACTGAAATTGATGTGGTTTGAAGAAATAGGAAAATGGGTTGGAAAAAACTTGATTGATGGGGAAGAAAACATTTGGTAAATTAAAAGACTAGAAATATCCAGCATATAGTGAGAGTTCGAAAACTTCGGTTAGGCTTTAGGCTTAGCCGAGAAGTCGCGTTTGTAATGTACCTAGGTGAGTCATGAGTGACTTTTCCTAGGAAGAAAGAATAAGGTTGGGAGTGGATCAGAAACCCAAAGGTTATTACTTGAGAATGGGCAAAGAAGTTGTATTACAAGAGATTAAAGAGGCACCAGTCGTCCAGCAACGGTGGTTCACACCTGTAATCCTAGCTACTCAGGAGGCAGAGATCGAAGTTCCAAGCCAGCCCAGACAGTTAGGGAGATCCCATCTCAAAAATACCCTACACAAAAAAGGGCTGGCAGATTGATTTAAGTGGTAGCACACCTGCCTAGCAGGAGTGAGGCGCTGAGCTCAAACCCTGGTACCACCAAAAAAAAAAAAAAAAAAGAGAACCCTCACACATTGCTGACAAAAATAGAATATAGTGTGGCTGCTGTCAAAAATTGTTTGGTAGTTAATAAGCAGAAATTTCTCTCCTAGGTGGATATCTAAAACAGATGTGTCAAAAAATGCTTTACATGAATATTCACAGTGTCATTATTCATAATAACAAAAAGGTGAAAATACCCAAAGGTCCATCAACAGAGGAATGAAAGTGATATATCCATTCAATGGAATATTACTCAACCACAAAAAGGAATGGAGTATAGATACATGCTACCACATACTGAGTCTCAAAAACATTATGCTAAGTGAAAGAATCTAGACACAAAAGGTAACCTATTGTATAATTCTATTCATACGAAATGTCCAGAATAGGTAAATCCATAGAGACAGAAACAGATTAGTTATTACCAATCACTGGGAGAAAGAGAAATAGAGTATCCAATAGATAAAGAGTTTTCTTTAGAGGTGAAACAAAATGAATATGGGTGAATATGAAAATGTCTGGAACTAGATAGAAGCAGTGGTATACAGAATTGGGAATTGCTGTCTCTGTACACTTGAAAATGTTTATTTTATATACACTTCATCTAAATTTTTAAAAATTTAACATGAGAGCTGTCTGGAAATAGTGATAGTTATATGATGATAAAGAAGAGAGTAACTGAGAGAGTCCTATCACAATCTTTTGTGTTTTCGACCTTTGTCCTCTCTGCATAGAAATTTGTTCTTTAATTTTCTTTCTGCTGTTAAACCTTTCCTAACTTATTAACTTATTCCTTTCTAGCTATCATTTCTCCATCTATGCAACCATACTGTTTTTACACTCCAATTTCTCTCATTTATATTTTGTTCACTTTCTTCCTTCCCACGATCAATAGCAAAGGTTTATGAACCATGAAAGCACACATACCCCACTGTTTTCTCAGAGCAGTATTCAAACCTGAAATACATTTATATTTTATAACTTTGTCTATAATAAACATGTAATGTGAAATAACTTCTACTAGAGGTTTCTGCTATATTTCCCACCTTCATCAAAGTTTCTGCCTTATCTGACACCTAATATCCTATCCTATTTTCCAAAGAAAAAAAAGTCTCCTTTCACAATACAGCATGTCCTTTTCATGATCTTTTAAAAGAGATTCCACTTCACCCTAGTCAGAAAGACTGAAAGGTCATCACAAAAACAACAATAAATGCTGGCAAGGATGCAAGGATAAAAAGGAACCCTTATCCACTGCTGGTATAAATGTAAACTAGTCCACCCACCATAGAAATCAGTATGGAGTTTCTTCAAAAAATTGAAATCAGAACTTCCATATCCATTTATACTACTTTAGGTATATACCCAAAAGAATCAGTCAGTTTACTATAGAGATACCTGTATATCCATGTTTACCAAGACACTATTCACAATAGCAAAACTATGGAATCAGCCTAGGTGCCCATCAACCTATGAATGGATAAAGAATGGTGTATATACCCAATGGAGCTTTAGTCAGTCATAAAAAATAATAAAATTATGTCATTTTCTGGAAAAGGAATGGAACTGGAGAGTATCATGTTAATTGAAATAAACCAGTTTCACAAAGACATATCAGGACCTGGGAGCATGGCTCAAGTAGTAGACTGCCTGCCTGCCTAAGAAACACAAGACCGAAGTTCAAACTCCAAGACCACCAAAAAACAAAAATAAAAACAAAGACAAATATCATGTGTTTGCTCTCATTTGAGAAATTGGGGGAAAAAATATCAAGGTCATGAAAGTAAAAGGGAGATTACTGAGAAAGTGGAAGGGGAAGAGAAAGGGAGAAGGGAAGTTAAAAAGAGTAAAAGAGGGAGTGAACATGATCAAAGTACATTATGTGCATGTATGGAAATAACACAAGAAAACCACTTTGTACAATTTATGCTAATAAAAATAAGTCATACAATTTACTAATTTAAAAAACTTTTAGATTGTGTTAAATTACTACACTAGGCATAAATAACATATCTGGGCTGGGGATGTGACTTAATGGTAGAAAACTGGTACAAAGCCCTGAGTTCAATCCTGTGCACTGCAAAACAAAGCAAAACAAAACAAAAAACTGATGCGGGCCAGGTCTATAATCCTAGCTACTTAGAAGATTGAGATTAGAAAGATCACAGTTCAAGATCAACCAGGACAAATAATTCTCAAGACCCGATCTACAAAATAACCACAGCAAAATGAACTGGAGGTATGGACCAAGAGGTAGAGTTCCTGTTTTGCAAGTATGAAGCCCTGAGTTTAAACCTCAATCCCACTAAAAAAACTGACATGAATAGTATATCCTGGTGCATTCTATGAATCAGATGAAGCTATTCTGATGAAGAAAGATATTTTCAGATCTGCCGTAAAATATTAACAGTGAAAATATGGAAAATATTGGTATATTTAGAGTCTTACATTTTCTAAGAGAATTTGAGCACAGAAATTATCAAAATACATATACTCTATTACATATGTATGGCTCATTCTTCATTATTGATACATTACCGATTATTTTACTATACAATAAGTCTGTCTTATTTGTGCAGTTATTACATGTGGCTTTGACCAAGTGCAACCAAAAATAAAAAATTTTTTAAATCAAAAAAAATTTCAGAAACAAAAATTTTGAGTTCCTGTTCATGCATTACAGAGCTCAGTAGATGTGGAGAAGCTCTCAGTCAGCCTGCTTTGTAGTCAGTGGTGTGTTTAGATCATTACATGATCTGCTGAGTGTTTCCCTGCCCTTCATTTTGTGAAAATATGCCTTCCAAAACCTAAATGGTGCCAAAAATGTAGAGTAAAAGTTAATGTGCTTAACTTAACTGGTAAAGTGAAAAATTTAGATTTTTTGAAAGATGGCATGTCTTTTTTTTTTTTTTTTTTTTGTGATACTGGGGTTTGAACTTAGGGCCTACACCTTAAACCATTCAACCAGCCCTTTTTTTAATGTGTGTGTGATGAGTTTTTTCAAGATAGGGTCTCAAGGAATTATGTGTCTGAGCTGGCTTCGCAATCCTCCTGACCTCTGCCTCCTGAGTAGCTAGGATTACAGGCGTGAGCCACCAGCGCCCAGCAAAAGGTGGCATGTCTTTAGTGGAAGTTGGGCAATGTATGGGAATAATGAATCAAGGATCTATGCATCCTGAGCATTTGTGCTGTCCTTGGAACCAGACACCTGCGGACACCACAGGTCTATGGTAGCTATAATCAGAAAGAGTACAAATCCTCAACCTTTACCTTTTTTTTTTGGTGATACTGGGTTTGAACTCAGGGCCTTCACCTTAAGCTGCTCCACCAGCTTTTTGTAAGGGTTTTTCGAGATAGGGTCTCACAACCTATATGCCAGGGCTGGCTTCGAACCACAAGCTTCCTGCTCTGCTTCCTGAGTAGCTAGGATTACAGGCATGAGCCACCAGTGCCCTGCTCAACCCTTTTCTTGATGTGCTGAATTCCCAAAGACTACTCAACTGTGGTTTACCTTCTATAGCATTAATCACCACCATCATCGCTCACATAACCTTAGAACAATGTTTCTAAAACTTGGCTGCACATTAGAACCACTTTGAAGGTTTTTAAAAAATATTGATGGCTGGGGTCAGCCCAATTAAGTCAATACCTTCAGAGGAGGTGCTCTGCTTGTTTCAGTCATCATTCTATTAACCTGCCAACCTTTTAAAAGAAACACTCTTTTTCTTTAGTTTCCATAGCCCTGTTGCCTCCCTTTTTTTCCCC